CCCCCCCCCCGGGACCCTCAGACCCCCCGCGGCGGCCCCCGCCGATCTGAGCTCTCCCCCGGGACACACAGACCCACAGCTGCGGCCCCCGCTGATCTCAGCTCTCCCCCGGGACACACAGACCCACAGCTGCAGCCCCACCGCTCTCAGCTCTCCCCAGCCCTGCCCACCACCCTGCCGTCCTCCTGCCCCAGACGCCCCCACACTCTGCAGCTTCCATGGCCCTGCCAGGCCCCCCCTGCAGCACCACTGCCCCAGACACCCCCAGAGCCCTCCTACAGCCCCCGAGCCCGGGGTACCCCCACTTGTGCCCTGTAGAGTCCGCAGCCGTTCTCCCAGACACCTCCCCACACGCTCCCTCCAAAGCTCCCCTGCCCCCCGAGCCCTGCAGCCGCCCTACCCCCGTTCCCCCCTCCCCACCTGATCTCGTTGACACGGGGCAGGGGGTGCATCACCACCATCCTCTCCTTGGCTCGGGTCATGATGTGGGGTGTGAGGATGAACTGCCCGAAGCACTGAGGGAACACACAGAGCCCTGAGCTGGGCCAGGGGAGTCCCCACACCCCCGGAGGGCAGCAGGACCCAGGCTCCCCTCACTCACAGCCTCGTACTCCTCGGCCCGCTGGAAGCGCTCCTTCTGGATGCGGGTCATGTAGAGCACATCTGTGTCTGGCAGCGCTTCCTCGATGCTCCCGAACTCCTCCTGGGGCAGCACCGTAAGGTTGGAGGGGGCACAGGGCCAGAGAGTGTGTGTGGGCCAGCCCCCACCCTGCCCCTCACCTGCTGGATGCCCCGGGAGGCCACAAAGCTGGTGATGTCGGGGGGCATGCGGAGGCCGGGAGGGGTCACGTAGCGCAGGTTGACGCGGTACTGGGTGAGCAGGCGGGCCAGGGAGTGCACCGTGCGCCCGTGCTTCAGGTCACCCACCATGGTGATCTGGGGAGAGAGGTCAGCCCAGCCTGTCCGGGGCCACTCAGGGCCTAGACAGGGCCCCTTGACCAGCCGGTTGTGCCGTCTGGCCCCTGCACCTCACCGTCATCCCGTTGACTGTGCCCAGCTCCTCGCGGATGGTGAAGATGTCCAGCAGCGCCTGCGTGGGGTGTTCCCCCACCCCGTCCCCGGCGTTGATCACCGGCTTGCGGCAGTGCCTGGCGGCCAGCTGGGAGCACCAGCAAGGCAGGGCAGGTGAGCACAGACAGGGCACGATTCCCAGCCCCGACCCAGCTGGGGACCACATCCCTGCCCCACAGCACAGGTCACCATCCCTGCCATCGGGGCAGAGTCCCCAGTGCCTCCAGGAAAGAAGGCAGCTTCCCTCAGCCCCTCACCTCAACAGCGCCAGGCTGGGGGTGCCGCAGCACCAGCACATCAGCGTAGCAGCACATGGTCTGCACAGAGTCAGCCAGCGACTCGCCCTTCTGCACAGAGGAGGTGGCTTCGGAGAAGGACAGGACAGAGCCACCCAGCCGGCTCATGGCTGCTGCAAAGGAGCTGCTGGTCCGCGTGCTCACCTCGTAGAACATGGTCGCCATCACCTTCCCCTGCAGGGCCAGGCTGTCACCTCGGGGAGCCCTGGCATCCCCGGCTGGTTCAGGGCTCCCTCGCGGTGCCCAGGGCACAGGTGTGCACTCTGTGCACGGCTCACCTTGAGGATGTCCAGGCTCCGCTCCTTCTGCACCAGCATGCGCAGGGTGTGTGCCACATTGAACAGGTGGGACAGCTGCGGGGACAGGTGGCGCGGGAGGCACCAGGGCTCAGCTGGGGCACAGGAAGCACCGCAGCACCCACAGCCCCGCACCCACCTGCTCCTTGGAGAACTGCCGGACAGAGAGGACGTGCTGCCCGACAAGGGGGTGCAGCAGCGGGGAGGTCTGGAAGTGGGGAGCGCGCTGAGGAGACGCCTGGCGCGGGACAGGGCCCAGGGGGTAGAAGTGGCTGTCCTGGACCCCCGCTGAATCTGTGGCACCGAGAGCAGCTGGTCAGCCCACGGGAGTGCTCCGAGGAGCCCAGGCACCAGCCTCAGACCCCGGATCCCCAGTGTGGGCCCCTGCTGCACTCACCCAGTTCCGCTGCCTTCCTGCTGCCCTTCTCACGAGTGTCCTCGGCTGGGTGGGAGAGGGGAGCGGTGGTATTAGGGGTTGTGGGGAGTAGCGGCACCCCAGGGCCCCGCTCTCCTCCTGGCACGCTGCCAGCGTGGCACAACCCTCCTGGCCCTTGGCAACACCAGGTGAAATCAAGATGGGCCCGATGCCAGGGTGATGGTCAACCAGAGAGGCAGTCCAAGCCCCACGCTGTGCTGTGACCCTCTCCCTGCAATTCCCAACTGGCCACCCCCCCAGATCACACTGGCAGGTGAGGGGTCCCTGAGGTGAGCTGGGGCAGGAGGGGAGTGGGCGGCCACAGCCATGCCCTGTCCCACAGCGCCCAGTCCCGGTGCTGGGTGCCGTCAGGGGCCCGTGGTGGGCAGCGCAGGCAGCCCGGGGCCTGTACGGCACCTGGGGGAGGGGATGCACTCATGGGCTGCAGTCAGTGCCATTAGTGAGTCCCCCCCCAGACATTACCGGTGCCTCGGGCGCCCGGGCGGTGCGCGGCTCCCAGCCTCCGGAATGCTGAACGGGACACAAGGGCTGGCATCAGCGGGGCCGCCCAGCCACGCTCCCAGACCCGGCCCCCCAGGCAGCGTGCCCGCCGCTCGCCCGCCGCACCGGCCGCCCCCCTACCTGGCAGCCCGGGGTCGGAGGCTCGGTGGATGCGGGGCGGGAGGTGGAAGCGTGTGTCACCTGCCGGGCCGGGCCGGCGCGGGCTGGGGGCTCGCCCACGCAGCACATCACCAGCCATGTGCCGGGACTGCTCGGGGGTCTGAAACGAGAGACCGAGCTGGAGCTAGGGCGGAGAGGGACCCCCTGCCAGCTGGGTACACCCCAGTACCTTCACACTCTCCTTGGTGGGGGCCCCATGTGGCAGCAGTGCAGCTCCTGAGGGCCACTTCTTCACATCCTGTCCATAGCCAGGGGGCACCAGCACCTGCAGCCATGGCAGAGATGGGATTAGGGAAACGGGATCAGCACTGGGGGACCCCCTCTGTGATAGAGAACATCCTCAATACAAGAATAAAAAGAGCTCGGACCTTACCTGCCCATCAATGTAGGCAACCTCCCCACGCAGGACTACCCTCCGCACTGTCCCCTTCACCTGCATGCCCTCAAAGGGGGTCCAACGGGCCTTGGAGAAGACTGTGCTGCTGGGGATGATCCATTCGTGCTCCAGGTCCACCTGCCAGGACAGTGGGTCAGAGGCAGAAGGGTGGGGGCTGGACCTGGGGCGCGTGGGCAAGGACACACCTCCACAAAGGTGTCCTCCTGCGCTGGTAGCCCAAAGATCTTGCGAGGGTTCTCATAGAGGCGCTGGACGATGTCCTCCACACTGAGTCGCCCCTCAGAGACGGCCGTCAGCAACAGCGGCAGCATCGTCTCCAGGCCAGGGTACCCAGGGGGCGGCTCCTGCCCCTGCTTCTCCTCCAGCGTGTGGGGTGCTGCAGGATGGGGCTGGTCACCGGAGCCTGTCCCCACCACCTTCCCCACCCCACGGCCACCATCCCTGGGGACTTACCGTGGTCAGTGGCAAAGCAGTCGATGATGTCCATGTTCTCCCAGAGCGCCTGCACGTCCTGGCGGGTGCCCAGCTCCGGCCGCACGGCTGCACGGCCCTTCCCGAGGCGC